TGACTCCAACGAATGTCTGGTCGGCAACAAAGATCTGGTCAGGCCTAACTGTAACAGGAGGCAGTGTCTTGACTGCCTGGAAAGAAGCCTTTGTCTTCTTGGACTTGGCACGATTGCCCACCTCTTGTCCCGAAGCTGCTTTCACCCGGATCTGTTCCTCCAGTTCATGTTGCAAAATCCATCTCATAGGAGGGGTGCACTGGTTCCCAAGCACTTTCAATTGGCTCCACGGAAACGGAGATCTCATTGCTTGTTGCAGTTTTGAGTGGCCAATCCTCTCCATGGCTGTAGCAGTTCTCTGAATGGCATCCGGTTTAGACACTCCTCTAGAGACAAGAAGCTCTTGAACTTGGTCGTCAACTGGCCAGTCTGAGTTCCAGCTCCTCGAAGAACGGCATCTTGACAAATGCCCTCATCCCGAATGTGCTGCACGAAGGCCCAATGCCTAGTAGAGGAAATGTGTTCTAACGACCTGGGAGTCGGTGCCATACAGTGACTCATAGCAAAATGCAGTTGAGCAATCGCATCCGGTCCACAACTACTCTGCAAATTGGTCGCCCCACGAAGGTATTTGGTGACAGTGAACGTGTCAGCCCCCACCAGTTTGACCAACCGAGGGAAAACGGAATCCAGCGTGGCAAAATGAGTCGAATCAGTATCCCAAACAGAAAAATGAACATGATCACCATCTGCCATTCCCAGCAATGGGATCCAATGCCCCGCAATGAATGGAACACAAAGCAACCACCCATCGACTCGGAAGAATGGGCCGGATACGGAGTCTCTCCCACCGGGGCCAGACTAGCCGTTGACCCATTGTCAGGGAACTTGAAGAAACCACCTTTTTCTGCCTCTGCCAATAACCGAGTTCGCTGCATGGCCAGGACATCAGAAGGTCCCTCTTTGCTGTGAGGAAGGAGCCCTCTGTGCATGAGATGTTGACGAACGTGGGTCAGAATCCAAGCACTTTGCAATGGAGAAGCCAATTGGCCTACCAAGCACAATCCCAACCTGGCATCTTGCCCCCACATCAAATTGGGAGTCAATCCATTCAACAAGGCGCACTCAGCTCCGGAAGGATATCTCATGTGAGGCAGCTGCATTCCCATATGTTTTGTAGCACCCTCAATCGGGATGAGGAGAACATGGATGCCATCACGCTGCAACCTCTCCAAAGACAGTCCAGTCTTTCAGCATCCACATCTACACCCGTAGAAATGGCTTCCCCATGCATGAACAGCAGTAGGTGCTTGTTGGTCAATGCGAATCTCAAACCTCTGCAATGTGCCAAGCTCATGAATAGATCTAAGCTCATACAAAGTCAATCGAAGCTGCTTCTCATGCTCAGGCGACACTGTTCCAAAGTTATTCAAAATCATCGAAACTTTGGGTCAAGATTGAATTCCCTTCCAGTCGAACAACTTGAAAGGACCTAGATTTCTCTGGGTCAAAACTCCCCACCATCGATGGCGACGAGACACCCAAACGTCACCCAACTCCAACAAAACGTGCTCATAGTGATTTCCGGAGGTACTGCAAAAGGGCCGGATGCACGCCTCAAATGCAGGAAACTTCATCACTTCTGCCACACATTCCAGCACAATCACTGGAGTCTGCATCCAGTATGCGGCTCGAAGGACCTTGGGTAGGCAGTTCGCCCTAGCATCATCTCCTCCTCTTCGGTCTCCCATTCGTGAAAATGGTTGGCAAGACACCCCTGCTGTGAGCACTCCTGCCATTGGAACATGCTTCATGATGGTGGCAACCGTGATTGTATCACCAATATCTCCTCGAACAATGAGCGGTCCACCCTGCAGTTCCAAAAAATCACAAATTTCACTACGAACTTCATTTCTGGCCGTGACCTTGAAGCCGGCATCCTCAGCCCCCATTCCAAGTGCCCCCCAAACCTGAGCAGGTCTCCACCACCTGCAAAAGGGATTCCGGTGTGGGCACCTGGTGTTGAAACCAGAAGGACATGCCGTCCAGCAACAAAGATGGAACCGGACCAGTCCTTGTCACCAATCCATCCAAAATTGTAATCTTCATTGCTCCAACGGGGATAACATCATGCTTCAACCAGACCTTCTGTCGATGGTGAACTGTCTCACCAAGCAGCCAACCGTCCTGATTCCTCCATTCAAGCTGGAGGACTAGCGAAGTACGAGTACCTTCAACGAGGTCAGCCACTTGGGGCTCCACAACCAGACACTCCATGTTCAAGGATCCGCCCGGTCCGCCCCACCGCTGGAAGGTTCTTGAACCCAGGGCTGGAACAGAAAAATTGCACACTAACAGTGACCACAATCATGACCACAAAAAATTGCACGCCCAACTTTGCAAAAACCAACGTTCTCTTTTCTCCATGTGCGCTCTCCAATGGGTTGGAGTTGGCACCAGCCACCAAATCTTCAAATTGGCCAGGCCAGCTTTGAGCCACTGCTCTGCCAAAAGGAACAGAAACTACAAGACAAAGACCGCAAACCCAGGCCTAAGTTTTTTATGAGAGCATTGAGCATTGAGAGCAGAATAGGTGAGCACGATTTGGAGCACAAATTTGCTGTCTCAAACGTGGAGCTCGAGGTCGAAGATCGAGGCATGAAAATTGTGGTCCAGATTGTGGTCCAAATTTTGCGCAAATATGTGTGGTCCAGATTGTGGTTTGGGGTTTTAGGGTTAAGGGTTTAGGGTTCGGGGTTGGTCTGGTCCAGATTGTGTTCCAGCTTTGAGCCACTGCTCTGCCAAAAGGCAAAGAAACTGCAAACCCAGGCCTAAGTTTTTTATTGAGAACATTGAGGAGCAGAACAGGTGAGCACAATTTGGACCACAAATTTGCTGTCTCAAACGTGGAGCTCGAGGGTGGTGATCGAGG